AATGAAGACTCATAATGGTGGTGGCTTTTACGCTTAAAGACTACCTCCATCAATAGTTTCTTAAAAAGTATCTTAAAAATAATTAAGTATTAATAATATTAAAGTATTAGGAGAGTTTCTCAAAAATTAAGAAATTGACTCTAAAACTTTTCATTTGAGAGACTTAACACTAAAATCTCTTAACTTTTGAGAACTCCATCTAATATTTTAATAGTATATATTTGTTAATGTATTTTAAAATACTCTTTGAGAGATTATGGATGGAGGAGGTCTAATAACGAATAACTTCTAGTAATATAAAAGTCTCCGTTGTTTTTGTGTTTAGAAAACCGAAAACGTTAAAACTATGCTTTGAAAGATAAGTTGTTCCAACAAGAGAATTAAAGTGATATGACAAAGGAGTTGTCGAGAAAGTAAAAGTGGACTCTTCTTGGAATTAGAAAACCCAATTATAAGAGAGGTTAGAAGCGCAAGTGACATGAATACGTTCAAGTTTTGAGGTCTTAGACTCTTAGTATAAGAGACAAGAGGCGTAGACAAAAAGACACGCGCCTAGGGTTTCATTGTGAGATACACACATATGTGTGGCTTTGCCCCATCAGACATGATTTGTAGATATGTTGGTGGTTGTCTATGAAGATTGTAACCATTGAAAATATGGTGATTCACCGGTGCATGTGTGCTTGATACCTGGATTCATAGTTTGTCCATCTAGAAAAGAATGGTAGGCATTGTAGTTGTTGGATACCAATCTAGTGGATTTGTTATGGACTAGGTTCCGAGAATGTAAGGAAACCGTCTCGTGAAAAAACTCTATGTGTTCTTTATTTTATACTTATACACACTTATTACAAACACTAAAGTTAGATCAAGTCACGAAGTCGAACATTCATGCCTGACAAATTGTTAATGCTAAACGATTGAAGTTGATCTTTCTTAATTATGTCAAAGATATTGGTTAGTTTTGCGCTCAAAGCTGGTTGAGAGGGGGACATGTGGTGCTACTCCCCGGGCCCCAACTTGTATCCCCATAGTTAGGGGCCAAATTATTTTTAAAAAATAGTAAAAATGTGATAAAATTTTATTAAAATAATAAAAATGGTCCATAGTTTTTTTTAATGTATTTTTCGTTTTACTAATAAAATATATATTACAAAAATTTAAAGGACCCAAATATTTCTTTGACCTAGGACCCATAATAACTTTGAGCCGGCCATGGATACACGCATAAGTCCGATTTGAAGTAAACTTGTAAGTTTGATTAAGAAAATTCTAACGAAATGATTATGGATATGGTGTATTCGGTATAAATTTTAATGAAATCTTTACATTTGCAACTTTTGGCAACAAAACCTGTGCTTTTTAACTTACAAAACTACCCTAATATGCTTTATGGCGGAACGACTTATACCCAATCCGCAAGTTTATAGCCCTACTTTATAAGTTATCTTTACGAAGACTCCGAAAATATGAAATTTTGAAAGAAATCGAGACAACAATTCCAAGATCATGTGATGGCTTTCATATAACTTCCCGACCACTACTTTTGGCTTTGGACAATAAACGCCAAAGGGAATGGTGAGAGTGACATTCTTACTCTAAAATAATCTTAAAATTAATATTTTAACTCGAGATTTAAAATATGACATATTCTTCAACTAAAAATAAAAGTAGATAGTGGGTTTTCTTTACATTTTCAATTAATTTAAATAAAAGTTGAACTATATATATGATTTCCATAATCATATAATACAAACTATCCAAAGTGGAACCCGTATAACGATTTTGCCTCTATTTTATTCGTGGGCTGTTTAAACTAATCGAGGACTAGTGATATTCTGAGCTTTCCTCTTCATTTTTTTTTTTTGGTTTCGTAAAATTTTATTACTTTTTTCATTAAACTTCATGTTTTGAATTCCCTCTTGGTCATGATTACATTTTGATTGTAGCCTTTGATCTACTTTTGTAGGGGAAATTAAAAAAAAAAAAAACTTCAACCTATAACAGTTTCAAAAAGAAATCTGATAAGTGTATCAATGTTACCGTTGTGAAATTTGAACAATAAGTAGTTATATTATCAATATAATTATATAATTTTCATCAGTTTCTTAAAAATCACAATCTCATTATAACTTGGATAGTTAATGGCAATGGTTTCTGTTTATTCGGCGTAAGAAAATAATTCTTATTACTTTAAGCTAACAAAAACCATTAGCATAAAACGACTTTTATCATAATCTAATTAACTGTTTTGTTTTTTTGATATCGATCTATACACCAGTTTCTCTGCTAATCAATTGATTGCATGTGGTCAAGAAGAAAATGAGCCAACTATATATAAAGTACATTGGATCTAGAAACTGAGTGTTTGTTTATGATTTATTTTGTCTGATAGTGTGGTTTTCTTAATTCGTTAGCAAACTATTGATGTTGAAGTGTTAGTTTAGTCAACAAATTTTAGCCCAAGTGAATTTTTATTGCTTACTACTGATATTTTAGATCATTTA